CTGTAAGTGGAAAGACGATGCAGCTAAGCAAAGCACTCGCCGAAAATGAATGGGACAGGGTGACGAGAAGGCGGAGGCCGATGGCACGCATGCCATAGGCAAATTCTACCAAAAGAAGATGGGCCGTTTTCGGTAATTCATTGTCCAGCCAGTACTTACATACAGTATGTCTACGAATTCGGACAAAGGACACGACGAAATTTGACTTGTTAGTTTAGCATATATTTTGCCAGGTTATTTTGATTCGCAGAGTACATTTAATCATGAGAAAGGCTTTTATATAGGAAAACTGCCCTTTCATTTCAGTTTATTAAGGGTAATAGGCATTAATTTTGGCTAAATCGAGAATAGCTTAACATCGAATAGATTCCCCATAGAATTAAGTACGACAGCACCAAACTTTTATTGATATGCATTACGCTATACGTGAACCCCAAAATAAGTACGAAAAATTTTTACAGAAAGGGAAAATTTGTTCGAAGTTGCTCAAGTGCAAGTGTGGCCAACTTTAAGGAATCACATGTATTTTTAGAAACAAGGAACAATTCCAGATTTAAAAAATTATTTTTCGCTAACCTGTGAAGTGTTTTGCCCCAAAAGGCAGCAAAAGTTTCGGTTGCATTTTTTACCGCATAGACTAATTGGGACGTAACTAAAACTGTCCATGTAGGTTGTCGTGAAGGTGATGTAGAACAGAGGTTATTTAATGTAAGTTATGTAGAAATATACTTTTTGTACACTATTTTTTTCGCTTTTGCGTTTTTAGAAACGGAACACATAGAAGTATAATTGGATCAAAATCTTGCTATGTATATGACCACGCTTTTTGCGTTTGCAAGCTTGGAACAGAGCCTAGAAGTAATCCACTACGGCAAAGAACAATCCAATAAAAAGAGAAAAGTGGGTGCTTTCATTTCCAGTCAAATTGAATAATTTATCTTCAGTTAAATTAAAGACCTTGTCGAAAATTTCCATTTTCATTTTGACATTACCCTAGAAAAAGCTAACATTCACAGATATCCCTCACTTGAATATCTAATTAAAATGCTTTTTAAGAGGTAACCTATCATAATTTTTTATTAATCTTAGGAATAACAATATCAGACTTTGGTTGCGGACGTTCTTTTCCCTCGACAATGCGTTTTGCTATTTGAAGGCATTTCTGATTATGGTCCAGATGGCCAAATTCATAAGAAATAATGTCCAAAGACTCATTTTTTCGGTAAATGCTTTTAATCTACATCTTATTTTAAAGGTTTTGTCATGAACGTCGAACGGGATCTGGAGTTAAGAACAAAAGCTTGAGGGCACTGAATACGCTCGAAAATATGCCGGAATTTAAAGAACGATACTAGGTGAACTGTAATCAACTAACGGTGATATGTATAAGAACGTGTGACTAAAGAAAATTTATTTTAGAGTTGCGAAAATTCCCATCAGAGAATTCTGAAGTCCAGTTTGGCGAGTATGCGTGTACTTTCGACAAATGTTAGGTCTGACGAGAATTTGTCGAAAGTACACGTATACTCGCCAAACTGGACTTCAGAATTTATTTTGATGTAAAAAAGTGTTATCGTTAACCTTTAAATTGACCATAAGATTTAAATTTATCGTTCTAATTTATAGCTATGTTTACGTCTCTCGAACTTCATTTTCATTAAAAAACAATTATTAGTTCTCGGATTTTTAAGTAACAAATTTGCCTTACATTGTTCATTATTATTTCTAAGTTTTCGCGTATGCGCTAATAACGGCTTGCGATTGATTATCAATCTTTCGCAAACTTCGGCATTTCACACGAATTATGCGCCGTAATGTACATATGGGATTTAAGACATGGCTTCGTCTGAGTACTGATTAGTGACCAAAGCATGACAATTCAAGGGTTAAGGTAGACTGGTTCAAACCCGAATGAGTACAAAATACTGTCGTCTTACCTGACCAACTCTGCACGAAAGTTGTAGAGACGACAGAAGGCCATAAAAAATCGCATGGCCCAGAGGTAGTAGGTTTCATCATTGGCCTGAGTAGTCTGGCGGAGAATAGCGCTGCGGGCTGCATTCATTAGCGGGTTGTAGCAATTACAGAGGAATTGCCAGCAGAAATTCTAGATTTGTAGGAAATAAGGCGAGGGGATATTGAAAAATGGTCATTGAGGCTTGATTCAAAAGCCTGTCAAATTCACTCCAGGGCCTTGAAGGTGTGAGAAAACATTATCCTTAATAGGCACCCGAATTATTTCAGCGTAATTAAGGACAACATAGTACTTGGGGGTATGGGTAGGACCCATTAAACGCAGGACTCAGACGGTTGTAGGTATGGTAATACAGCAGCAACACATTGCCGTACCCACGCCAAAAATTACATCTTAGCATATTGTGCGTCAGGAAGTCATTTTATCCTTCTGCCGCATACGAGGGGCGTCCTCGCGCCCGATCCCGCTTTCGGTCTTCTTAACTATGTCTTGACACCATGCCCAGGTGGCTGAGGGAAGAGGGAGCGAGACAGACGCCTCGCAAGTCGCTATCCCTGTGCCACCCTGCTATGGA